TCAGGAAGTTGCTACAGGAAAATAGCTGCTGTGCTGGGCTAACAGTGTCCGTCCCAGTGTTCACGGGGATGGACGTCTGTGTCATCGGCAGGCGTAGAGCTAACAGGACTGGCAGCGTTGCGAGGCAAGGGCTCAAACATGTACGGCTGTAAGCCTTCTACACCAGACCAAGCTTCTGCTGCCCTGGCGTCCTCTTCCACAACGTCTTCGTCCCCGCTTTCCTCCTCTATATAAAAAAATGTATGACAGAGACTCATCCACGACCTCTGACACTAAACTCCTCCTCTTGCATGTTTCTGCTGTCCATAGCGTTCCTTGACAGTGTCGTTTCTAAGTCACCAATTTAGTGCTACTTGGTCCCAATGGAATTTCCCATTGGGAACCTACTAGCACTAAGTTGCTAACTGGTTAGCAAGATGCCTCAGAGACACCAGCCACAACCAAACCTTCCGCCACAACAATCCTGCCCCCTTGATAAACGACCAATCACATTCACTTTATTCACTTGTTTAAAGTCGGGCACCACTCCGGAGAATTTATAAATATCATGGTTGGAACAGCCTCTTCCCTACGACTTTAACGAGAAAATAGTGCTATGGAGAAGCACTACTACTGGTAGGTATGGTGCAGGATCTGTGGTGATCTGGGCTTGTTTATCTCCTAGAGGCTTTGGGAACGTTGATAAATTGCAAAACTATGGACTTCTTAAAAAAAGCCAGACATTCTGAAAAAAATCTGGCCACTTCTAACAAATGGGTAGTGACTGGCACCCGGAACATACAGCAAAACCAGGAAATAAGTATAGACAGACACAAAATCAATTTTGGTTATGAATTTTTCAGGCTCTAACCCTGTAGGCTGAGCTAAACAGAAAAGAGTGATCAGGACAGCTTGTGCGGTGAGGGAGTGTCTACAATCTCTTTCTGTCTGTATGCCCAACTCTGGTGGACATGTAGCTGGAGCAAAGTTCCTTTTTATTTGGCCGTATCATGTCCACCACCAGCAGCTTAATCCATAACCACATTACTAATGCCTCATTAAGGTTATTTACTTCCGCATTCAGTTTTTCCTACCTTCCTTTTAGGATCAATTCATTTACTGCCTGTATGAAATTTTACAGGCAGAAAAGCAAAAACAAAAAAAATATTTTAAATCATACTGGAATTGATCCATCTAGATATATGGAAAGAATTTAAGCTATTTATATATCGAGAGAATAAAACTCCAAATCAATGAGTAGCATTCTATCAGTGGCACGATTTTCCTTTAATTTCACTATAAAATCCTGTTGGATTGAGCATTACTGCACTCCTCAGCCTATTCTTAGAAAAGGGACATTTTCAGGCTGAAAATTAAATGTCAGTCTAGTTATAGAAATGCCACTCTCCAGTTTATCACTTTGTCATTCAAACAGTGACTAAGAGGGTGACTCTGCTGAGATCCTGACCCTTTTTTTTATGGGATCATAAGTTTAATATTTGATGGCCGAGCAAATGTTATAAAACAGGGACCTTTCTTTCTTCGAATAGCTTCAGTGTAAGTAATCACCTTCATCTCGATGAGGCAGGATCATTATTTATGCAACAGGTCAGGGCATTGATTTATGATACGTGGGGAAGGAGGAAAAAAAGATTGCAGAGCCGTTAAAGGTAAAGGAAAGAGCAGCTTTTGTGTCCGTTTCTTTTAACAGCGTCCTTCCAGGAGCTCAGTTTATTGTCTGCTTCAGAGAACGCCGAGGCGATGAGAAAGCTCAGTTGTCGTCTCAGGGACATGCTGACTGTAATGCCAGGTTATGGAAAATATTTGAGAAAGCATGCTGGTTTATCAACACTCTAAACACCTTAGACTGATTCATTACTGAGCCTGGTTTCTGTGAGAGTGGATCACACGAAGGCGTGGGCGTCAGGTCGTTAGCAGTCAAGCCTCAGGCGAAAAGTCTCATTTAAATGTTCACATGGGCTAATATGGATGAATTTAATTTCCTTAAAACATGCCTCTAAGGGCACATACGCCACCATGAACCCTCTACATTAACTGTATGGTGAGTAATGATTTTGCTCCGGCATCTGTATGTCTCACTCTTTTTTTGCTCTAAAAGTGGTGATGGGCCTGCTGAAGGTAACAGAACGGCTTGAATCAATCACCATCTATCAAAACATTAAACTTTGACTTATTTTTCATAAAAGTTATTATGTTTTCTCATGCTAAATGGAGAATAAAGTAATGAAGCCCTGCCCCTCCCCGACCTGTTGCATCCTTTTATCAGCCTTCAGTCAGAGGCTTCTCTAGATCTGATGTAAGACAGACAGACACTACAGGAGATCCTGCTTGCCTACAACCATCAGCATCTACGAAAACTCATTGAAGAAACCGTTATATGCATTAAAATAACATTTAATATCCCTTTGGAAAATAAAGCACTATTAAACTGAATCAAACTGAATTAAATTGAAGGATGATGGGATAAAGAATGCTACACTTTTCCCTCAGTGACAAGAAAAGGAAAACTTCTCCTTTTTGGAATTATTTCAGATTGTTACGGCCAGGGAGAGGAGGCTTTAGGAAAGCCATTGTTGACTCTTATTTTAAAATGAATCTTTAAAAAAGCTCAGAAGATATGGCTTTATTGTCTTTGATTTAAAAGGTTTTACAGCCAACCTCAGAAATTAGCTGCCGACTCCTATGTAGCTGATCACACAGCCTAAATAAATCAGACAAATTTAAAAGCTAAACTGCAAAAAAGGCCAATTTTTTCATAAATACACCCTATTGTGGATGTTTATGCTATTCTATCCATAAGTCGATATTTGCATTCTAACTTAAGCATATCAGAATGAAAATACAAAAAGTTTGTTAGCCTAATATTATTATTCATCCCTTTTCCGTCACGCTTATTATGAGGGTTACGAGGGGTGCTGGTGCCTATCGCCAGTGGTCTAAAGGCAAGAGGCGGGGTACACCCTGGACAGGTCCCCAGTCCATCACAGGGCAACACAGAGACACACAACCATTCACGCACACACCTAAGGAGAATTTAGAGAAGCCAATTAACCTAACAGTCATTTTGGACTGTGGGAGGAAGCCGGGGTACCCGGAGAGTACACATGCATGCTCAGGGAGAACATGCAAACTCCATGCAGAAAGACTCCGGGCCGGGAATCGAACCCAGAACCTTCTTGCTCCATTTTATCTTAATAAATTCACTCCAACTGACATCATAATGAAAATCTGTATGTTGAATCCAAAAAGAAAGAAAAAGGAATTGTAACGTGTTGAACTTGTCTCCATTAAAAATCAAAACAATAAAAACAAGGTTGAGATTCTTTAGGTAAATAAATGTCTGTAGCAAGTGCAATCTACTCTCAAACTAATTCAAACTGTCACTGACTCTTTTAGAGACACTGATCAACATCCTATCAACATCAAAACTTGGATATTATATAAAAGATGAAACCACAAAGTAAGCACAAGTCCTGTTCAGGTTTTGCAAAGGATACCCATTAGCAACATTATTTTATGCAGCAATATGCTTATTCAGTGTCTGCATCAATGAAGATTATCTCACCTCAGTATGCTGGATGCTTAAAGCAAGTCCAACTGACACTCGTCTTACGTTCTTTCTAAATAAACAGTCCTTTGACTGATTATTTGACCAGTGTGTGTGTATAGCAACAGGCCTATTATCCCTAGACATACAGTATGGGCAATCATTAGTATGAAAAATTATACACTATCTCAGGGATGCCAAAGTTAAAAGAAAAGTACTGTGTTTTGATACAGAAGCACAGACACAAAATCACACCTTTCATCCCAATAAACAAAAACTACATACATTGGGATTACATCATAGGACAGCCTGCAGCATATATGGGGAAAAAATGAATGTATGGGAGAAAGAAAAACAGTGAGGGAGCCACTTAAAGTATATTAACAAAGCAATACGAATAAAAGCATGCATTTCAGCAACCATGACTCTCAACATAGATTAAGAGCGCTTTTATGTACAGTTTTAGAATAAAAAAAAAACTGAAAATATGTATTAATGCAACCAGCATTGGTATTTAAGGATTAAATATTTAATAACTTCTATTCAATAAAAATAAAGGCTTTTTTCTCACACATTACTAATTAAATATTCAATGTTCATTCTTCTCCAATAAAATTATTTATAACTACAGTAAGTGATTCGTCTGGAGGCACTTCCAGGCAGATGCTGATTTTGGCAGGCTTAAAGTTTTCCATATTAGATGAATACTTCTGAGGTTTTGCAAACGAAGGTTCATTTAAAATCCATCTTTAAGGATTTAAGTGATGGTGAAGGGTCCTCGAGGTGAGGAAACTTTCCTTCCTTCCTGTAATACTTCCTTCCATTTCACTTTTTTACTCCACAGCTTTTGTGAAACTGACTCGTCCCTCCATTTTTGGATTCTGCCAAACTCAGTAAATGCACAAGTGCATCCATTCTTCAGACAGAAAAAACATAATGTCTACTATACCAAACAAAAAACTCCTTCCATATGAGTCCCTCAGAGATTTAAAAATATATTATATTTCAATTATTCCTCGGATTGTCTGCAATGCAAACTTAATTAGACACAATTTCACAAAACACAAGAAACTGCCTGAATCTTCAAAACTCTCATTAATAATCTCTGAATGAAAACAAGCAGTCATGGTCTGAGAGAAACATTTAAAAATATGAAGAAAACCGAAAACATTTAGCAATAACCTATTATACTTTTTTATGCAACAATAAAGAAAATAAAAACACAACATTCAAGTTACCATCAGATATTCTCACTTCTTTTTTTTTTAAATGCTTCAATAAATTGAACCAAAATCATCACAAACAACAAGGCCAGACGTATGAATTCTAGTTATTCTGCCTGTTGAGCCATCAAAAGAAAAAAGCAGCTACATTTTCAAGACGTGACCTTATTTCAGTTTAAATATCACACACCCAGACACAAACATATCTGTATCTGTCAGCTGGTCTTTACCTTGGCACTGGAATCCTTGCTTTCCAAACCCCCTGTGAAAAGAGAGGAGATTGAATTGAATGACTTTTACTGTTTAAACATCCTGAATAACAGATTATTTCACACCAGCTTTGATTCACATTAAATTCATCTCAAGGAAACGGCTGTTCAAAGAAGGACGTAACTGTTATATTAGAGTTTTTCAATAGATTAGAAATATTAAAGTTACATCTAAAAATATATATTATTAAAAGCAGGTTTAAGTAATTCAGTTGAAACAGAGAAATGCATAATAACAAATATGGGGAATTTTTCCACTTAAGCGTCACTGATGTTATTACCATGTTAAGTAAACTATAAGGAGAAAAGGTTGTTGCTAAATAAAAAAAAATAATTTCTTGTAGATATTTATACAAGCATATCAATGGAAAATTAGGTGGAAGAAAAAAGTATAGTAAAAAATAACCTTAAGGATTGGACAAGAGACAAGGTCAGTGCTTTGAGAGTCACCAAACACAGACCCATCTAGAACATTGGCAACAGCAGCCACACTCCTGATGTTTGATTAAGTCTTGGCAGAGAGAAAACTTCTTTTAAGGATTTTTTTAAAAACCTTTGACAGTAGTATGAAGTCATCTTAATGTTTTATGGTTTATGATGATTAGTCTTTCATTTTTTTTAAGAATTAGATGCCTCCCAATGCTGAGAGCTCTTATTATATCTGGTCTAATTACTATAGAATGAGCATTTTTGACAGAATAGCAAACTAACCTGACCTTAAATGTTGAATAATTTGGTTAAAGGAATAGTACACCCAAAACATGATTAGCCTTCATTTTCTACTCACCCCCATGCTGAACAACACTCTGGGGTACTTTTTTGATATCTCAAATGCATCTGGAGATCTGGGAGGCTTCTTGCTGTCTGCTGACATTCAAACAATGGAGGTCTATGGTGCCCGGGGCAGAAAGGTCCATAAAAGTCCACAAAAAACGTGTCAATATTCCTCCATACTGCTCGTCCAATGTATTCCAAGTGTCCTGAGTGGGTAGCATCCAGAATTTACTCAAAACGAAGTCATTTAGAATGTTTTTAGAGCATAAACAGTAGTGTATAGGATTTCCTGAAAGCGCGCACATGCGCGCTCACGACGCTACGGAAGCCGGCAGACCAAACCAGATGAAAGTGCGCATTCAGCGTCTGCTCTGCCAATAATGCAAGCGTAGAAGAAGAAATGTGCTGTTTACCTGTGCAAAGAAAGAAACAACGAAAGAAAAATGTCTGAGGACTTCAGTGTTGAGGAAGAGCATGAGTTCTTTACCGAGCTGAATGCGCTGGTTTGGTCTGCCGGCTTCCGTAGCGTCGTGAGCGCGCATGTGCGCGCTTTCAGGAAATCTTATACACTACTGTTTATGCTCTAAAAACATTCTAAATGACTTTGTTTCGAGTAAATTCTGGATGCTACCCACTCAGGACACTTGGAATACATTGGACGAGCAGTATGGAGGAATATTGACACGTTTTTTGTGGACTTTTATGGACCTTTCTGTCTCGGTCACCATAGACCTCCATTATTTGAATGTCAGCAGACAGCAAGAAGCCTCCCAGATCTCCAGATGCATTTGAGATATCAAAAAAGTACTCCAGAGTGTTGTTCAGCATGGGGGTGAGTAGAAAATGAAGGCTAATCATGTTTTGGGTGTACTATTCCTTTAAGTCATGATCAGACACAAGATCTGACAATAAAAGCAAGCAGAAGGTGCCTACAAAAGCAACCTGGGCTTTTCTAATACCTCAGTATTCACATAGGCTCACTTTTTTACTCTACTTTTTCCTTCCACTCAACTTTCCATAGTTATGAATGTGGAACGATCTGTTGGTCATCGCCCCCTTTGGAGGAAATTAGTGACTGTATCCTGGAGGAATGTGACAGAAGCAGTCTTCCCTATGACTCTGTTGGTGATGGCTTTTTTCCACCCTCCCTTTTCAAAATTGAAATTTCTTTAAAAGTTGAATTTGGTTGTTTTATCATCTAGGAGTCATAAATCATCAACATTAAGAGAATTTAACTAGATAAAAATCAACGTGTCTACAGTATGAATTAAACAGAAACACATTAACTTTTGAAAGTATAAATGTCTCTAATTTACTTTGATGTATGTACATGGATTTAGTATTAAAACATAAACTGTCATCCTACACAAACTGATGTTAAAATCAGATATATATATATAACATATTATATGTTATGATACAAATCAAAACCATTCTTGGATTATTTTGGTAAGATAATAGTTAATGTTACAAAGTTAAAACCTCAATTATATAAATATGGTATGTAGTTAGCTGTTCCACAGCCACATGAGGGCTGCAGGTACGTGTCACCACAGGTTTTTCTGGGCTGTTTTACTTTCATTTGTGTGTTCCACCACAGTGTGATTATGGGAACCTGAGGCTCAAAGACAAGCAACAAGTCTTCTGACTTCATGTTTAAGCAGAATGCTGATATGTTTAACTGTGAAGGAGTGGCACATGTCAGCCTGCCAACAGCATGCCATAAAGGGCCTGAGATCCCCACGCAAACACACACACACACACACACACACACACACACACACACACACACCTTAAAGAACAGAGGACTTTAAACGTGGGCGTGCCTACAGAAAAGGACTTCAATGGGAAGCCAAAGTGATCTGTCTAGTTCAAGTGCTCCACAAAAGGCAGGAATTAGCTCCTTTTTAACTTCCAAACAATGTCCAGAGTATGTAAACTTGAAACATGAGCACACGTTTAGCAAGAAAATTCATTTTTCCGTATGAGCAACTTTCAGAATTTCCATTGAGAACCAGCCGCCTTAGTGGTTTCACTATGTGGGCGGAATGGCAGCACATTAGTCCTTAAAATATTTGATCAGACAAAAATCACAGCCGTTGCTTTGCAGTTATTTGCTGAAGAATGCAGATAAGAAGAGAAGAGGTGTGACTCCTGCAGATTTCTTTGTTTTTCCTCTCAGTTACACAGCTTATAGTCTTCCAGTCAGAGTGTGCATGTTCTCCCAGTGCATACTGGCATGGGCGATTCTAGACAGGGGCCACGGGCCGTGCAACTGGGAAATTGGCCCCTGTTTTGGCCAATGCACTGAAACAGTAATACTAAAAAAAATAATTTGAAACTGACTGTTGTGGTTTACTTTAGCAATTGTTTAGAAAATTAAAGTGTGTAACTTTGAGCTTCAGATATATTAAGATAGGATCACAGTTTTTACCTGTAAGACTTTGTGGCTCATTTAAAAGCCTATTCTAAAGGATGCACTCTTCCCGTGTTTGATGCATATACTATATATACATATGTATTTTTTTTATTCCTTTTTTTGTAATATGTCCCTATAAAAATAAAACTGGTAGATTTAGTGTGCAGCCACCACTGCATACTGGGGCTCTCTCCTAAATTGTCACTTAATAAGGTGAGCATGGTTATGTTGCCCTATGATGGCAGCCTATGAGTGGATAATCTCACACAGCACCTAATCCACCAGAATTTAATCTAACTGCTTTAAAATCACTGTTTTCCCCCAGTCTCCTGTGATGAATCCCTTCCAATGGGCCTACAACAGTAACAACTCCTCCCATTCATCAGGACAGAAATTGCAAAGTCTCCTACAGGAATCCCAGCAGTTTGATCCCTCAGAGATCTAAAGGGGTGCAGGTTTGGGAAGGTGGTGCCAACCCCTGAAGTTACGCGATGGAGTCGAGCGAAGTTATCCGATCTGCAACAGGCGGGTGGAGGTGGGAAAAGGAGTAAGGCTTACCAGATGAAGTCGGTGCAGTGGCTGCAGAAAGTCGGCTGCTTGAAGAACCTGGCTATGAATTTATGATCCTTCACTTCGTGGACGTTTTTTTGCCTCAGCGCGCCTTTACGCGCAAACCTGTTGGCTACGTCCGCGTTGGACGATTCGTTGAAACTTACATCTGCCATCGCGTCCCCTTAAATATCTATAAAGAAAATCCAGCGATCAATGCGAAAGCTTAGCTCCTTCCTGGGTTTGGGTGTTCCTCAGTCCGAGCAGACTAGCAGGCTTCAGCCAGAGAGCGAAGCGGCTGTCCAGACTGGAGACACTGGAGTTACTGGGTCTGAGGGATGTCCCTGCTTGCCTGCCTGACACTGACAGCTCTGATCTGTCAAGCTGGCGTGGCTGACACTTTCTGCTTCCTCTAAATGCCTCCAAATCAAAAGTAGGATACTGTAAAGTCGAGGGGAAAGTACTGTTGAAGCAGTTAAAACCGTTGGTTGTTTATTTTAACGTTTACAGTTAAGCAAACCCAACAGTTTGTTTACCAGGCAGTTAGAATATTACATCAGGCTGTTGAAAAAACAGGTTTTACTGAGTAAAATGTTATTTTCCAACAAATATAGAAAATGTTGGACAGCTGACCATAAAGAGTCACTAAGTATTGCAAAAAAAATAAATAAATAAACTATGGCGGTTCTTTTAGTGTTTTGTTCATGCATATACATGGAAAGTTGGGTGGAAGGAAAACGTTTACATCCTCTAACTGCCTCTGAAACAAAAGAAGGACTCTTTAAATCAGGGAAATATAATGCTATATGATATTTATAAATAATGCAGCTAAACAAACCTTTCATTTAGTTTATTTGGCAGCTAGGCTATTACATAAGGTCAATACAAATGCAGTCTGCATTACTAAAATGTTATTTTATAACAAGTCTGAGGAAGATTTATCCACAAAGAGTCATTGATTTTCCTGACAATTTATTAAGCTACAAAAAAAGTTGCCATAAAAAAAATATTTATGTTCTTATACTTGTATTCATGCTTATAAATGGAAAGTTGGGTGGAAGGAAAAAATGCAGAAAATAAATAACCACCGGGAAACGTATTTCTATTTTTTAAAAAATAACATTTTTTAACAAAATCAACAGTTCCACAATAATGTTTAAAATCTAGCAAACGCTCTGTCACAGCGTGCACATTAAGAAAATCAATGACCTGGTCATCTAAAAGTTTCCACAACACTTGGAATATTTAGTTAACATGGTCATTTATTAGGTAACAGACCATCTGGTTTTGGCTTGGACCTTTATTTAGGGTTGTTGTGTTTCCAGTGAGAAAACATGGAGAGATGTAAAAAAGAGCAGACAGTATGACCCTGTCTCTTCATCTGTAATCAATGTGGCAAAAATCACCAGATCTACATGCTGAACAGTATGTGAAGATATATCATCATTGCAATAAAAGTATGTCCTGTATTAATATTACAAATGACTCTTTGGAGCACTGTCATTGTTTGCTGTTGAAATGCATTTCTTTTTTGTGTGTGTGTGTAATATTTAGCCATATGGATAGGTTCTAATGGAAACTGGTGCCAATACTAAACAAAATACTCATTTGTAAGGGTATACAACGGATCAAAAATTGCAACTGCCCTAAAAAGGGTTAAATCTTCTGAAATATAAAACATGAAAGCCTTACATAGAACATTTGAAATCATGTAAGTCATCAAGAGCTGCCCCTTCTGTAAATTCACCTTTTAAAATCAAACTACAATATTTTTGCTATTTTTTTTTATCTTCCTAAAAAAAAGAAGAGAAAAGAAAGAAAGAACAGCAGACAAACAGTTCTTAAGAAAAAGAAAGCACAATTTTCTGAAGATTTTTCAGAGTTAGGTTGTTTTATTTTGGAGAACCAATTTCTGGTCCAGGTCCTGCGTATTATTGTGTATCTTTACTCTTATTCGCTCGTCTTCCTTCTTTCTCGCCTGGCTGATGTCACGCAACAGGATCCACAGTGGGAGGGAGGAGGCCCCGGGTTCCACTGGAAGAACTGAGGCTGGAGGCGCCACCATGTGGGAAAAATGAGCATTACATATTCTTCCTTAAAGCCTACAGACAACTCTACTGGAAATGAATGGGTTACAGTATGTTTTAAACAAGGTATCTAAGGTATGATCAAAGTTTGTCAATGTTGTGATTGTGAATAGATATTTAACTTATTCTCCTCATTTAAGACAAAATACATACACGGTATTATTTGTGTGAAAAAAGTTACGAATATCTTTCTCTATTTCTTTTCGGGTGTAGGGGTAGTAATGGCCTAGTGGTTAGAGCAGTGCGTTTGTGCTCTGAGAAGGTTGCAAGTACCTGTTCGATCCCCATCCTCTGGGACCCTGAGGAAGACCTTTAACCCCTGAATACTCCCCAGGCACCGCCCAATGGCAGCCCACTGCTCCCCTGGGGGATGGGTTAAATGCAGAGAGGTCATTTCTCCATTGTGAGACAATAAAAGCTCAATTTCTATTCAGTAATTAAGCAAATTACATTTAACTGAGTTAAAATTATACATAAAAAAATGGAAGAAAAAAAAAAGATGAGCCAGATGGACATAGATGAGAAAGGATCAGTGCAAACTCTTCTAAAACAAACTTATGTTTATAGAACAGAGACGAGCTTGATCTTTTTTAATCTCTTTTTTGTACAATTTAATGAATCATTTTTCTTTTTAATAACACCTTTTCTATTTGTTTTTGTTCTTGCACTGCATGTTTTTCTTGTAAAATCCATTTGAAACCAAAAAATTTTAAACCACTATTCAAATCCACTCTCCTAATAAAGCAATCTGCACAGTAGTTTACTTTATTACTTTTAGTAACTCTAGATGATGCATCCAACAGGGACATGGTAAACAGAGCTGTTGGAGCAGCAATGAGGTATTGATAGGAGTGTGAATAATTTGACTTGTGTCCAAAGAGAATTCCATCAAAGGGAGACTAATAAAGATACTTTTGACTTTGTTCATGTTGATTGCAGTAATCAATATTATCTGCAACAATAGAGGCCCTTAAAATAAATTTTTTATTCGGCCTTTTTGAGGCTTGGGCCTTGCTGAGGATAATGCGGTTATCTTAACCACAGTTATATGAGTCATTTTGGTATATCAAAGGGAAATTTAATCTACATGATCTGATACCATAAAAAAAGAGCTGGAGCTGCAGGTTCAGACTTACCTAAGCAAACAGATCCAGCGTGGTGTTTTGCATGAGTGGAGTTCATTGTTTAGGCTCTGATTGCAAAAAAAACATAAAACTTTCTTACCCCTAAACATAAACACTTGCAGAAAGCTTTTTTTCCCCTCTTTGTAAGTACATACATTATTTGGTTGTTTGTGAAGTATATGCTTGCACATATAGAGTTAATTTCTTTAATCTCCCACAAGTAAAAACTATCATAAATAAGAAAAAAAACATTTTATTGAAATTTTAACATAAAACAGCCTGTTTTAGGTGATTCTCCTAAATAATCAGTGACAAAATAACCCATATATGATTTTGAATTAATTTGATCAATTATTTTCTTTTATTTTTCAGCTTTTGTTGTGAAACAAACAAACATCTCAGAGGGTTGGCTTCATGAAGAAGACCTGTTATGGTTCTCCCCTTTTGGACTTTGAGTTTTCAGTTATCTATGTCTTTATGTTTTGATCTTTGGTTTATTTTCCATTTGGTGTTTTATTTTAGCTGTGTTGCTTTTTTGAGTTACTCTCTGCTGCCCCCTTGTGTCTTTCTCCTTTCCCCTAGCTCCCTTCTAGTCATTCTATCCATACCTGCTCCATATCATCTGATTACCCAAGTCTTTATTCTTTCTCCCATATATACTCTCCCTGTGCAGTTCTTCAGTGCTATTTTCTTGTTGCTTTTTTTTATCCTTATGTGTGTTTTCCCCTGTTTTTTTTTTTTTGTGTTTTTGTTGTTTGTTTGTTTCTAGTATTTTTTAGATTTTTTGGGATTTTTGTTTCGGTTGCCTTCGGTTTTATTAAACCTGCAAGAACTCTTTTCTGCTTCCCTCATCTCTGCAATTTCGATCCTCAGCCAACCTCCACCCCCTTTTTGAGAAGATCAAATAAAAAGAGCAGAAAATTATATTTTTTTAAATATATTTTAATCTTCATTCTTCTGTATTAGCAGTTCATCCCAAACTTCATGACGATGCATTTTTATCAGGCTGCACAAATAAACACAGTTTGCTTTTAGTGACTTATAATTCCCATATAGTTCACTGACCTATAGGGAGTTATCTGCCCTGTTAAACAGAAGACAAATATTCCTAAATGACACAGAGCTGCACAGGGTGGGTGGTGCAATCCATTAACCTTCAACATTTACTGGAAAATAGTCAAAGAAGTAGCAACAGATCAGGGCTTTTTTGGTACCGTGGAGATCTGACATGTTTCTGGTTCTGTTGTTGGTTCAGTTACACTTTGATTTAAGTCATTAGTTTCATTTCCATTTAGAGTCAACCAAGTTATTTTCTTTCATTACAATAAATCATCTCTGCCTCTTCAGTTCTGAATTTGGGTTCTATAAATTCAATTCATGGGACCCAATTTATATTCAATTATTATAAGGCCTGTTGAATAACTGTTGTTATTTTTTTCTTTTCTACTTGACAAGATTTCACATAAGACTGTCTGTCTACTGTTTAATCAACAAGATCGAAGTTTAAAACCAACATTCAGTCAAACAGGTCTGCATGCATGCAATGTGGACTTTGTCCTTGATCAATAGTGTGAAGTTGCAAATCTGAAGTTGCATTTGATTGGATGAAGCAAACACTGTGGCTAAAACCAAATAGGTCTCATCCAACTCCCTCCCCACTCAGATCTAGGGCAACCAGAGCCGATTTCAACCCCTCAGAAGATGGATCCTACTTTGCTGCTTCTTAGCCTTGCAGCTTTTTGCACAACTGTAACACCTGCAAAAGGTACATTTGCAGATTTGGAATTTAGAAAAAATTAAACTACTTGTGCATGATCATGTTTGAAAAGAGTTTTTTTAAAATCAAGAAACCATCGCTCACTTTTGTTTCTTCTCTCTTGCAGTATGTGGCCGGCCTCGTTTCTCTGATGGAGTTGATATTTCGTCCCTGAAACGTGTGTTTGAGGTTGGAGAGGAGGTGACCCTCTCATGCGAGCAGGGCTACTTACCTTCGACGGCCTCCCTCCCCAGGATAACCTGCACGGCTGCTGGAGAATGGACATCAGCAAACCTGGCATGTTCCCGTGAGTTAAAGCTGCAGTGTCTGTTTTAATGCTGTTGTTGAGATTTTGCAAGTTTAAAACAGAGAATAAGGTTGACTATGATCCTTGCATGTAATTCTGCGGGTCGTCCAGCACAGATAGTAATGCTCTGAAGACGTGGCCTTCACCTTCTTTTTTTTTGTAGCCAAGATGTGCCAGATCCCGAGGCCTTTGCAGCCATTTGCAAAAGGCAGAACAGAAGCTCCTTTTAAGAGCGTTCTTAACTTCTCCTGTGATGACGGGTAAGACCAGAGCAAAATGTTCATTATTCCCTTACAATTACAACTGCAGATTGTTACAGAAAAATATTTTCATTCAATAGGTATGTCATGGTTGGAGCTAATGAAAGCAGGTGTTTACATGACGGCACTTGGAGTAATCCGCCTCCCGTTTGCAAAGGTAAGACACATTAACCATGCCCTCTGTCTTCATTTATGATACCACATTTTAAAAGATCCAGACTGGCCAAAGTTGTCTATAAGCCATCCATCCAACCATTTTCGAACACGCTTAATCCCAAGTGGGGTTGCGAGGGGTGCTGGTGCCTATCTCCCGCTGTCAATGGGCAAGAGACAGGGTACATCGCAGTTGTCTATAATCCATTTGATATAAAACAAGGCATAAAACACAATGATCATCTAGTTTCAAATAGCTAGATAGATTTTGTTGTTAGTGATGAAAAAAAAAACACGTATCTTAATCTATCCATATGATGTAAAAGTCTACTAAGTCTTTCCAGCAGATAGACCCCAATGGCCCCACAAGGTGGAGAAACCACTAAAAAATAGGTCATTATTAAAGTAGCTTTCTTTTTTAAACCTAATAATTAATAGTTAAGTGGAAGCAAAACATGTTGTAGAAGCAAAGTTGAGAAGAGTTGTGAGGCTATCAAGTAGCCTAGGAGATACAGTATTTACAAAGTCTAACAGTTACACTAGAATCAGTCCTGCTTAGGCCAACATACATTGGTTCAGGAAATGAAAAACAACTTTTAAATTCCTTTTGCTCGGCGACGGCAGAACTGAAGATAAAGGAGTAAAACTATTAACTGTTTTTTCAGAGTAATGAACCAACATGAAAACACACACACAGAAAAAAAATCGTATTTTAAAGTTACAAAACAAGTTCATATACGTAACATTTCCAAACCAAGAATCCTGAGCAAGAGTGGAGAAGCAGTGAATCCCAGTTCGTTGAGGGTGAAGTATGAAAATCTCTGACAGTTTGAAAAGATTTGGGGATTTCCCAGAGGTGTAAAAACTACAGCTTTCTCAATATTGACCTCATCAAAAAATGAAAGCACTTTTAGCTTCCCTCCACTGTTTACTATTATGGAGAAAAGATTTTATTGAACATGGTATCAGCCTTTTATCACCTGAGGAACATCTCCAGGATTAAAGTAGGATCTAGAGAAACTCATTCATGCATTTGTCTTTAGTAGAATTGATTACTGCAACAGTGTCTCCATAGGTTTGCCAAAAAAGTCCTTCAGACAGCTGCAGCTGATCCAAAACACTGCTGCCCATGTTCTCACTAGAACTAAGAAACTAGAGCACATCAGTCCGGTTCTGACGTCCTTCCACTGGCTCCCTGTAGCCAGACTTTAAAACCCTTCTGTTATTCTATAAATCACTGAATGGTTCAGCACCTGTCCTGTTTGTCTCTGTTTTTCCCTGCAATGGACTGGCGACCTGTCCATGGTGTACCCTGCCTCTCGCCCATAGACAGCTGGATATGGGCACCAGCACCCCTCGCACCCCAACTGTGATTTAGTGTGACAGAAATGGTTCAGCACCTCAATACATAACAGATCTGCTGTCAGTGTATCAACCTCCTGGACCCCTCAGGTCTTCTAGTTCCAGGCTACTCTGTTCACCCAGAACTAGAGCCAAAGATGGAGAAGCAGCATTTAGTTCATCTGCTCCACTGATTCGGAAAAAACTCTTGGAAGACTTATTAGGTTAAGGTTGTGATCCAAACTGTTCTATTTTCTTCTCTACTTGCTTTTATCATGTTTTTTTTTTGCGGTCCAATTGTTTTATTTGTTTTACAAATATTTTTGCTTTTATTTTATGATCTAATTCATGTAAAGCACGTTGAATTGTCCATGTAATGAATTGTGCTATACAAATAAACTTGTCTTTCCTTGCTGTAATTGTTTGGGCAACATACACACCGGATCTGAACTCCATAGAGAAGCGGCCTAGTTCAAGTTCAGTGACCCGAGAAGAACCTCTGGGTTCCAATCTGAGTGAGATCTGCCCTGGTGCCACTAGCGTTCAAAAATGTTCTTCCTGCCGATTTTCCTTAAGTAACTTTAAAGAGCATTAAATCCAAAAATACAATACATGGAGGATAATACCAATATGAATCTTAGAAATAAATAAAAAATAAGAGCAACCACAACTAATGAGAATAGAGAATCAGTCCAATGACTGACCCCTGAAGCATACCAGACTTACCCACAACCCAACAGCTTTCAAATGTCCCACATGTCAAATATGGACGCAGTTAAACTAACTTCTTATTCTAACTCAACAGGTGTGAGCTGTCCACTACCCAGACCACCAAGAGAGGGTAGAATCGCCTACGATAAGCCGGCAACAGGAACAGAAACTATCTATGGACAAGGCTGGACTTACGAGTGCAACCCACCCAAGGCACCAACGTATGAGAGAGGGTCCTGCATGGCTGATGGGAGAGCAACTGAACCACCTGTTTGTAGAGGTGAAACCAGCTTGGTGATGCATATGCATGAATGTAGGAGTTCTGATGTAGCTAGTATACTCATTTTACTAAAGGGGTCATAAATGATTCTATAGGGTATTTGGTGCTGGTTCTTAAGGTCTCTGAATAGGGTGTGTAACATTGGTTGGGCTGAAAATGGCATATTTGCTGTTCTATGAGCCCTAATGCAAGCCTGGATAAAAGCCCTAGAATGAAACGACAGGTTTTCTTCCTTTATGGTATAATCATGAAAATTTAGATGAGCTGTGCTCTGATTGGTTGGTTAACAACGAGCGAAGCTGCTGAGCAAAGACGCATCATAGCAACAAGCGCTCACCCACTGAAACATCGAAATTGTTGAAATGGTAGGGTGACCAGAAGTCCTAATCTTCCCGGACATGTCGTATTTTTCATACCTTAAAAAATGTCCGGGGGGAATTTCAAAATCGTCCGGGAATTTTGTCGACTACAATGCAGAGCGTAGTTTAAACTCACCGGGCACTTGAACCAAGCCGAGGGCAGGGAGCCAGCGGGGGATGAAGCAACCGAACCCAACACAGTGACGGTAGCCTGGACACCAGCAGCCCCGTGCTTCCCCCCGCCTGCCTTACAGGCCCTCAGATCCCCTCCTCTGGCTGAGGACGGGCGGCTCATGGCTCTCTGCTGAGGTCTGGTCCAGTCAGCAGCCCAGCAGTCGACACTTCATACCTCCACTGAACCAGTGGGCTGGTCTGTATGTTAATTTCGGGTCATGACAAAAGTCCAGGTCAGAACCAAATAAAGCAACATCCCCAAGTTGACGTCAATTCGGTGCTTTGTTTGGATTTGCCCGTTTTATGGTGGAAGTTTAGAATTGTGAGATCTGTAGAGAAAGGATGTGTCGATGGCGTTGGAACTTCTCTGTAAGTCCATTTCACCCACTGAACTATCCTTATTCATCTACGACAATGGAACCTCTGTTTTGCATTCTATTACCCCTTTAAATATTAGATTTATATGTCCATCATTTTCTGTACTTGTTTTGAACTTAATGAAAGTATTTATTATCATTATTATTACAGAGGTGAGCTGCCCCATTCCACCAAGTATACCCAATGGTGTGATCACATTTGCTATAATGAGGCAACATGGATACAAAGAGAAGGTTAAGTATTCCTGCAATGAGCACTATACTCTGGAGGGTGAGGCTGAGATTCAGTGCCAAAACACAGGAACCTGGTCATCACTGCCAGCCTGCAGGGGTGAGTCATGAGAAAATTAGCTCTCCCTTCAGTCTTCTACTCTATATTTATGTAACTCTGTTGTGGGAGATTCCTAACTTGGTCTGGCTGCATTTTTAGGGCGTTAATAAAAACCTGCACCTGTAAAACATTTCTGGGGTTTTTTTTTTTTATTTGATGTTTGCTGTGAGAGTTAAAATTGTATTAAATTGCTTTTTTTTTTTTTATCCAGCTCCCTGCACAGTTGGCATCAAAAGAGGGCGCATCCTTTACAATGGCAGAAAGATGTGGATTGAAGATCTGAAGCCAAACAGAGTGCTCCATAAAGAGCCCGTTGTCTTTTACTGTAAGAACAAAGTTGATAAATGTGGCTACCCTGTTGCCAGCACCTGTAACGATGGAAACCTCCCCATTCCTGACTGCTTTGAGGGTGAGTCAGATCAAAATGATCATGTTGCACCTTCTTAAAATGTCTTATAGATGCCTTTGACAGTGACTGTCATCAAATGTCTCTGATTTTTTTCTCTTGTAGAACCAGGCAAAATAGAGTACAACTTAAGGTCTAAAAACCTTCCATCAGAAATCAGGACGTGTGCCGCTCTGCCCGCTACAAACCCAACAAGTTCTCCAAGACCTTCCTGAGCAATTAATGGAGCCAATATTAAGAACCACGCTGAGACGAAGGCCATCATCATCATCATCATATCTCGAGCTTTTTTTTTTAATTTACATTGTCAGTGAATAAAAGCAAGATTATCAAAATCTGTGATACTGCAACTATAAACCTCTAATAAAAATGATTGTAAAGTGCATCCCAGCTCAATTACATATAAGTTTATATCATGCCAATTAAAAGCAAGTGTCATTTTAAGGTCCATTCAATTCCTAATTTGTCAAAAGTATGAAATAAATTAAGATAAAAGATCCTTGTATGTTAGTAGAAGTTAGTGCCCTTTGTGGAGTGATGGCCTAGTGGTTAGAGCAGTGAGATTGTGCTCTGAGAAGGTTACAAGTACCCGGTTTGATCCCCACAGCCTTCATTCTGGGTCCCTGAGCAAGACCCTAAACACCACACTGCTCCCCAGGCACCGCACAATGGCAGCCCACTGCTCCCCAAGGGGAAGGGTTAAATGCAGAGGTAAATTTCTCCAA